CTATATAAAAAGGGCAATGTTTCACTACTGTAGAAAGAACAGTAGATTCTTCCATTTTATCTCACTGTAGCTTTTTTTTTTTTATTAAGAGGATGCAACAACGTCGTTTATCTTATGTGTTTGATACAGTGACCTTGTTGCTTTTCCTCAATTTACGCGACATGAAGGATTATGTCATAGAGCCCTATTTACTCTTTCTCTATTTTTACACGCTACAATCATGCCTCTCTATTTTTCCACACTAATTCAAGAGCAAAAGTGTGAAATTCCATAAATATATGATTGAAAATATGTTTAAAGAAAAATAAATTTTAAAAAATGAAAACCAAACATGTTAAAAAATGAATATATTTATTTTTCGAAAAATAAATTTTTAGTACCATTTCATTTATATCGTGAAATGATTCTAATTTTAATATATTATATTGTGTTTCAAAATTACATAATCTATCAAATATAATTTTTAAAAATAAATTTTATAAAATAATATGTTTTTATGAATTTTTTTTTGTAAAGTAATTTTTTTAGTAAGCTCCCGTTCGATCCCCATTAAATTTAATTACATTACATTCCATTTTTCTCTTTCCTATTTTCAACCACACAATCTTCCATAAAAATAATATTATACGTAAATCGAAAACTTTTTTTTCTTTTTCAATCATTCATTTTTCTAAAAAATATTATTCCTCCCAATTTTCATTTTCAGATAATGAGGATCAAACGGGGCTTAAAGTAAACAGGGGCTCGTGTTGAGGCCTCCGTTATTACGGAGGCTCAAGCATGAGCCTCCAGAATTAACATGGAGGCCTCCGTGTTGAGCCTCAATAACAATTTATTTTTTAAAATTAATAAAAATTTAATTATTTTATATTTTTTAGTACTATTATATTTCACCTTCAAAAAAAAAAATTATAAAAATATATTACTTTATAAAAATTAATTTTAAAAATTATAATTGATAGATTATGTAATTTTGAAACACAATCTATCATATATTAAGATTAAAATCATTTCATGATAAAAATGAAATGGTAATAAAAACTCATTTCTCGAAAAATAAATATATTCGTTTGTTAACATGTTTGGTCTTCATTTTTTAAAATTTATTTTTCTTCAAACATATTTTCAATCATATATTTATGGAATTCACACTTTTGCTCTTGAATTAACCCCCTCAATAAATTATTATTTAAACTATTCGTAAACATTTTGATTGATATTATTTTTTAGTCATCCAAATGGTTATTATATACATTTTACGTACATATATAAAAATAATATTTTTATTCAAACTTACTTATGTGCTTAAAAATAAACTTTTTAAAAATACATGATTGATAGCGTGAGAAAACGGTGAAAGAGATAGTGTGGAGAAATAGATAATGCAAATCGTTATGTTTGTCAGTCATTGTAGGTTGATCTTTCAGAGGCCTAGAGGGAAATTTTATGGTCCTTCTGAAAGTCATGTGATGTCATGTCAATCGACTAATTGGATAATCACTCTTCGAAGCTCACCAGACAGGAGTTTATAGTATATTGAAATTCTATCATTTTTAAGATACGTGAGTTATCTGCTAAAGGTCGATTTCAAGAAGAATGGGTGAGTTTTATGTCCATTTAATCAAAATACTATCTGTCCATATTATTGAGCTTGCCACCTAATGGCGAAATTTCTAAAAACAGTAAGTATATTTGACGCATCTGCACCCATTTTCAAAATTTGACATTTGCTTTGCACTTTGTAATAGTTGTTCCCCAGCAATTTTAATTAAGTTCACTTCGTTTTTATTCCTCAGTTTTTCTTCTGACTTTTAATGGGCAATATTGGAATCTAAATGTGAATATGTTTTTATTTTTAGATAGTCCGCCTTCATGAGGAAATTTAAAATAGTGCATCATATAATATGAGGAGGGAGAAACTTTTAGAAATATATGTTTGTGGATGTTTGATGCTAATACAAAAGTTGCAATTGCTATGAAGAAGTTTCCAACAAATAAGAACAGAAGTATGAAGAAGTACGTATAATTGCTTTTAATCCCAATAAGTTGCCCAGAGCTGAAAATTTTATAAGACCATGTAAAACATTTTTTCTTTCCCCTTAATTATACTTTTCGGTTTTATTGAATGCCAATCAGGAACCGGCTCAATATTCAGCAGATTCTACTTGGTTTGGTAAATCTCAAAATAAAAGGCCTGTAAAATTAGGGGGCCCCATTTTCTCAAGGTTATTTCTCCTGAATTTTATCTTTTTTGCGCCAAATTTCTGAAAAGGTCCTGAAGTTATGTTGCAAATTTTCTACTACATACTACAGCATGCGTTGTTTCTCTTATACCATGTTAATAAGTTTGTGTGCATATATATTCAAGCTAGAAAATGTTCATTTGAATCACTGCAAATTGGAAGTCTGTTTTGGGAAAATAAATTACCTGTTTGGTTTCCTGTCAAATAATTGGAAGTGATTTTATTTTCAGTAAAAAAATCATGATATCTTTCTTCTGTTTCATCCAGTTGGTATGCTTGATAATATCTATACCCACTACTCCAAAACAATCATTTTAAGGTTGATATGTACTTCACAACAAAAGAACCTCATGTGCAATTGAATATGTCTGGATGAACTTTGCATTAAAAAAAATAACTCGGTTATTTGTGACTTGACTTAGTTTCCCAGACCGTGCTAAGCTTTGTCAGCAGTTCAAATAGAATTGATCTTCGATTTGCATGTTGATTGCTTTAATGAGCTCGATTTAGAACAAAGGCTGGTTGACGCCAAGCTGCCTCTCCCAAATATAGTGAAACCTCTAGTTGCATGTGGTGTAGCTGATGCTCACAGTATGGTACGTCTGCTTTAATTTCCCTTGGATTCTCATTTAGTCGTCATAGAATCTATAATTTTACATTCCATTTCTATCACCAAATTGTTTCTACCACTTCCATTACATGCCATCATTATTACCAGGCCATTGTTTTCAGGGCGAATTACTCTGTTTTTGGGTTTCGTATTTGTCTTGTTCTGTTGGTGAAAGACCGTATAAATTGTTTCTTGCATAATTGTCATATGCTTTCATCTGTAAAAATATCAATGTGAAAAAACTTGGTTTTACTCGAATCATAGTGCATTTCACTAAGGATATAAGTGGTCTACTGTAAATGAATTGCTGGTTTTGAATGCTATTAGTCCAAAAACGTAAGTGATATCTGTTCAGTGTAGCAATTAAGGTTTTGATGTTGATAATTACAGTATGCTTGTGAATGCTTTATGCAGATGCTATGTGATGGATTATTTTCAGCTGATTATTAGACTCTTCCGAAGTTAAATATGAAATTAAGTGTTGTTGCTGGAATATGTGGATCATTCATCTTTGCTATATAAATTCTACGCCTTGGGAGGGAAGATATTTTATGCAGTTAAGAAGTCCACACCTAATTCAGATACCTTGGCAAAATCATCTGAGGAGAAGGGACTCAAACCTTTGCTCTTTGATAGGCATTATTTGTTCTCACTTTTCCTTGTCTTTGTTGTCGTATGGTTATGCTGATTGGTCATGATGTGCCATACACTGACAAATAAAAACATCTGTTTTGTTGCAGCTGAAAATCGCTACCTATTGCTAAAGATAACCCACAATCTCGTGACCAACATATTGATCTTGGCCTTGTTACTGATGATGCAGATTGGCTTAGAAGGATGCTTGGCCTCACAATTTTTTGCTTTGATATTGTCGTGAGTATCTGGTTATTTTCTAATGTATAACCTTTTTAAGAATGTAAAAATTCAAAGATACAGTCTGCAGAATGGCCGTTATCTTTTTCGGATAATTTCTCCCAAAAAAAAAAAAAAAAAAAAAAAAAAAAAAAAAAAAAAAAAAAAAAAAAAGAAGAAGAAGAAGAAGAAGAATCAAATACATAACATTAAACCTTGGGATACAAAGACGTGATAAAACGTAATGAACTAAAATTTCATTAGAGAGAGGATGGAGCATGATCTCTTGTGATTCAAGAATTTCAATTGACTTTCTTCAACATTTTGTATACCTCTGTATTACGAATTTTACATTCACAGTTTTTCTCTTTTTGTGAAATTCCAGAGTCAAGAGAGCACTGGTGACCATGTGATTGTGGATGTGAATTACCTCCCTTCATTCAAGGAAGTTCCTGATGACATTGCACTGCCTACCTTTTGGGAAGCTCTAAAGGAGAAGATTGATTCAGAAAAGGGTAAACAACCTACAAAAGCTTCTTGATCAAATCGGGGATTCGTGGATATAAAGGTAATTGTAGTAAGTCAGCTAAAACCATTTTGGCATATGTTTGGTACTTTGATACAGACAAATCAGAGACATTCTACATCAACAAGATTGCTGTATGTCTTGTCAGCTAAAAAGTAAAAACTGTACAATGATGAGCTTCAGAGCCCTCTGTGGCCCGAGCTCACTTGTTCTATCGTAATTACAAACTTGCTAGATATAAATAACCCCAGTAGAATGGACTACAAAACTGTTAAGATCACTTGGATTGTTTCTCGTGATATCTTTCGTCATTCTGCTGCCAGATTCAATCAGTTTTTCCATTGAATCGAGTGAGACGAAGAATACTTGATAGCTATTCTGGCAGAGATGCTGAAGTTGAATTGCCTTTTGAGCTGTTCGATCCAGAATGTACTTGATGGTCACTCACGATTTCCTGCATAAGCACCCGCAGATTATTTCTATAATTTCTGCATTCATCAAAAATTCCTGAAAGGTTCATACATAATTTCCAATGAAGTAGTACTAGCCATTACTCAAATACTAGCATTGATTTGCTTTCCGCATCGACAGTTTTTTTCAGACATGGGGTAAAATATGCTACACTCCGAGAATTTTCTTAGAACGGTGATTTTTTTCCTAATTATCAAAGAGTTACTTTCAGAATAGGTAGCCCTTGAAATGGCTTTAAAAATGGCGTATTCTTGAAATGTATCAGCAACTGACCTGCGTTAAAGACGTGTTACTGTGATTAGGAGAGGAAGCTGTACCGCCAACTACCAAGAAATGGTTCATATTTTCTTGGCCGAACTCTCTCAATCTATTAAGTTCAGGCAAAACAACCTTGCCAAGATCTGGCCTGTCTTTTCGTCTTAATTCTGCGCATTGTAGTGCTAGCTTTGCAAATTTTAAGGCCTCTTCAACTGGCCAATCTGGCACGGAAGGATCGAGCATCTGTTCGAACGTCCCCTTCTCAATTGACCGGTCAATGTGGTGAGTCAAGCCCATTGCTGGTTTACCGGATATTAATTGAAGAAGCACAATGCCAAACGAGTAAACATCGGATTTCACTCCAAGCATTCCCGTCTGTTGATACTCGGGATCGATGTAGCAGAAAGTTCCGGCTGCTGAGGTCAATCGGTATTGCGTTACATCATCAGCTACAGAAGGAGGGACAAGCCTAGCCAATCCAACGTCGCCAATCTTGCTTACAAAGTTGTGATCAAGCAAAATATTTCCTGGTTTGAGGTCACGATGCACTAGTGGTTCGGGTTTCGTCTGGTGAAGAAAGAGTAGGGCTGTGGCGATCTCTGCAGCTATTCGGAACCGAAGTTGCCACGAGAGTGGGCGCGTGCTCCCTTTCCTGAAGAGACGGTCTTCCAAGCTACCATTAGCCATGTATTCGTAAATTAAACAGCCATATTCTGGGCAGGCTCCAAGGAGTATAACCATATTTGGGTGTCTCATACAAGTCAGCACTTCAACCTGCATTAGGCGTATAAACGAATTGTCTATTAAGGGACTTCTAAATCTTCAAAAAAATTCCTCTTCATAAGCAATTTTGAATCTCCTCGTCTATAAGTTTAAGTTGTTATAAAGGAGATATATTTATTTATTTAAGTATAATCTTCACTCGCCCCCTCAAATTCATTTTATCTCGAAGGGCTCACACGTGAACAACATTCATAAATGGGTGGCGAGGATACTTAACATCGGGCACTCTTCCTGCTTAAATGCTTAGGAAGAATGGGTATTGCAATTGCAGAATTCAAATGGTTTTATTTCTACTGGAAAATGAAGTTCCTTGTAATTATTACTTTGCTTCGCCATTACCTCGTGCTGAAATTGTAACCTTCCTTGAGCAGCATCAGGACGTAAGATCTTCACTGCCACTGGTGTATGATCGAGATAACACTTGAAAACAGGGCCATAGCCGCCTTCTCCAACCTTGCGAGACTCAGAAAAATACTCTGTTGCCTCTTCAATTTCTTCGATTGTGTATCGCCTGTATATTAATTCCTTTTGAGCTAATGTATTTTGCTCATTGTCATTCTCCTCTTCTGATTCTTTAATGGCTTTCAGTTCAGCATTTACTCTTTTTTGTGATTCTAATTCTGCAATTCTCTGAGCTGCTTCAGCATTCTCTAAAGCTACCCTGCATTTAGCCTTCTCTGTTTCAGCAACCATTTTTGCTTCTTCCTCTGCAAGTCGAGCCTCTTCTAATCTTCGTTCTTCTTCCATTCGCCATCGATTAAGCTCCACCGCCTGTGCCAAAACAGTTAGAAAACGAGGAAAGCCCACACAAATTTACATTGTTTCAATCTCAACATGAGAGCTATGTCCACTTGCCACTTGCAGGTAGATCATTGCAGCACAAATCTGTAAATAGATTCTACCTTCTGTTTTGACGTTAGTGCTTCCTTACAGGCAGTGCTGTACATTTCCATTGTTTTCTGCAACTCAAGCTTTAGCCTTCTCATTTCAGATTCCACGTCATCCTATATGTTTCAAAGGATGCGTAGAAGCAATGATCAGAATCTAATACCAGCAGAATACTTTATAACTTGCCTTAATAAGATTTAATTTTGTTTGGGCTTTCAATAGACTTTTTTATAGTAACTTCTGTCTGAAAAGTAGGTTTTATTTTTATTTTTTTACGCCTGGCCAAACATACGGTGTTTCACCATCAAGATGGTATCCTTACATTTTGTAGTGATGATGACGAAAAATCAGAAAAGGAACTCAATTCACTATCCTTAGCCCCGGAGCGTGCTGACCCCAGACTGCTTTCTGAGCTGGTTGATACACGTGAGGTTCGACTTGTATCCATGTTATCACAGATCATAGTAGACGCGATATCAACGCTTGGCCTGCCAGAGCTTATGAATGATATATCAGTAACTAATTCTGAGAACTCTGCACATGACCTTCCAGTAAACGCTCTTCCCCTTGCGAATGGCGACCTGTACTCCGAAAAATGTAGTGGGCTAGTATTTTGATCAAGTAATGGCGGTATGAATAGAATTCACGTAAGTAAAATTTACTCTTTTATCATGAGGAACTTACTTGATAAAGTCATTGTCACTGAGCATTCCAGGAGCCTTTCGTGACGTAATATCAGGTGCTGCAGTGTTAAATCATATAAGAAGCTAAGTTTAACTGTACATTGTAGCATACTAGACTGGAAAGTTGAAACTGGAAACAATGTCAATTAGGCAAAGGAAACAACAGACCTCTCATGCTAGGAATACGCCTGGGATGCGCATCAGGGGAAAAACCATTACTATTCGCCTGTTCTTGCATTTGCTGTATTTGTTTATAAAGAGGTGAAGCAAATGGTGCTGGTCGAGAAGCATTCCGAACAGAAGAGATTTTCGATTTTGAGATCACGTAAACAGTGCAGAAATCCGGAACTCCTTTGGATACACTAGTCGGAATATCTACCATTTTCAGTCGTCTGTCACATAATAAACATAAATTACTCACTTTACATAGAAAAATGTTGTTGGCTATAATGATAACTTATCAATTTACCTGATAAAACCATGTCGCGAAGCTCCAAGAATTAAGTTGTCAATTGCAAAGTAGGTAACATAGTCTGTTACTGCTCTTGCTACATCTGTATCCTCAAGCACAATATCCAAACATTGAATCTGTTGAAAAGAGTCGAATGTGAGAGCCAAATGGGTAAACTGTGTTGGAATTGGTTCAAAAATAACCGAAAATTGGTTAAGTGTAAAAATGAAAAATGAAAAAGTGTGAATTCGTGTCAACTTTGATCAAATATTCAGACTTGATCCGATGGTCAAATTACAAAAGTAAATACACAACTTTTTCTACTCATCGAGTAGATCGTTGTAGTATATTTGGAATTTGAAAATCAATTTCGGATGAATGAGAAATTGCAGTCTAAATTTGGAAGAAATGAAGTGTTGCAACTTTTCGAAATGATGCAGGTTTTGACCAAGTGTTGCAACTTTTCGGAAAGATATATGATTTGGCCAACACTACTTCATTTGCACAATTTCTACATCTATAAATACAACCTTGATTTTGGGTACACCAATTGCAATGAGCACTCATTCTCCTCTTACAATACTCTCCTTTTTATTCCTATAGCATTTTAATGCATTTTCTTTGTCGAGGAAAAATTCTGTCAAAAGTTCGTCGATTTCTTATGATTTGAAGTGTTGTTACCACAAATTGTGAATTCATTGTATATTGGAAGACAAGTGTCATTCGCAGTGAGCACCATAGCGGGACAATTTGTTTTAAAGAAAGATATAACATCTCGCATTGGATTCTTCTCTATTTTCTACCCCTCCTTAATCTTGTTTTGCGTAATCGTTTACCACATTTATATATACTGAAACTCTGTCCAAATTTTTGTTCATATAAATTATGTTTTGATCACGTTCCTGTCGGTTAAAATTGGTCGAAAAAACATGTCAAAAACTAACCTTTACGCAGCCCGTTTCCACAAGTTGTCTCCAACAAACCGAAAGGCTAGTTACAATATTTGGTAAACTGAATTGGATCGAATTAGAGAAAACAACTGATAAAATTTCTCATAGTTATCTCTCATGTACAATCTAGCATACCAAACTCGTCCTTACTATATATTAAACTCCAATAACCGTCAATGATATTGAAATGGAACATAAAAAACAAGAAATACTTCTGCTTACATCCTTACGCGTGCAAAAGCAATGGAAGGTGAGGAATAGGTCTTCGGCACTCTTTTCGATTATTTGCTTATTTGCAGGTGCAGCTCCATTCAGATCGTGAGCGTAATAATTTTTTCCAACTGCATACGTATAAAAAGTTAAACCCAATGTCCCTTCAAAATGAAAGAAGATAAAGAAGCCTAATTTATCGCAATTCCAATTTCATTACGGTCATATTCTTGCATCCACCCTCGATTCCAATGGCCAAAATTACTATTATACGCACTAATCACATAATATGCTATGCTTTCCAAAGCTAATGCATGAATAGGAAGAATTGTAAGATCCAATATCTGAAAGAAAGATAAGAAATAATTACGCGAAGATGGCGCCCTTTTCAAGACATGAATGAGTATTATAGTATTGCCTCTGGTGAGCAGATTATCGATTGTCCATCTGATTGCATGTTGGCTTCCTCTGTCTTTGTCTATGGCAACTGCAACCAGGCCATTGCCAACACCCCTTTTAGCTATACTTAACTTTGCATTTGATTGCCACATTTTTTCTGTCCAAATTGTTAATATTATGCGTGAATCAAAAAGTCTTCGATCGATATGAACAAAAAGATTGTTCTTGGATTCTTGTTTATTGATCAACGAGTTTTGACCTCGTTAATCAGCAGGAACTAGAATGTTGTTGTTGAATTATATATTTTACTCTAATATTTCGTTCAAACATTTTTTTGGTCGAGATACAAGAAACCACAGAAGAAAAAAGAAAAGGTGATAATCCACAAATGTTTCCTCATTTTTAGTTGAAACATCTGGTTTAAATGGCAAATCAAAAACTGGCCAAACCGTGTTCTGAGTTCGTTTCTGGACCCCTATCGGATATATTAATATGATAAGAAAGAAAATAAGAAAAACATTAATTATTTTGTAAAATCCTAAGAACCAAGTTATTCAATAAATATTAATAGTGGTTTATTTAATGTGTTATTAGATTATTCATAATTTTTATTATTTTAATAAATCAGAGCAATAATAATATAAAATTAAAAATATCAAAATATTTACAAATTTAATTCTAATATTTCTGTTGTTACACTAAGGGTGTGATTACATATATTTTCCATGGAAAATATCAGTTTTTCATCCAAATTCCTACTTAGAGTGTTTGATTGCTATTTTTTTCTATGGAAAATATTTTTCAACTTTTGAAAATATGCCTAATTTTCCTTGTTTTTAAGGAAAATATTTTCCTTGGGTAGAGGTGGTTTTTATTTTTCACAAAAGATGGAAAATATTTTCTTTTCTAAGTAATATTTTCCATGTCAATCAAACACACTCTAATAGAGGCATCTCCAATGGTTGCACCATTGTGATAAGTGTATTTTATACACTTATTCGGGACCCTAAAATAATAATATTTGATAGTCTTCTGACAAAATACATTCTAAATTGTTGTGTTTTAGGTTTAGTAGGTGAAACTCTACGAATGAAAAGGAAGTGAAGGAAAAAGCAAAAATTGATGAGAAATGGCAAAATCGAAAGTACGTGAACTAAATTGGCCATTGGATGAAAATTGAGGAATTGGAAATAAAACCACCATAATGGGCTTGGAATTTAATTGAAAGTGGACTCCTACTTGCAGAAGTAAAGTGGATTTATATATATCTCACGCAAGTCGGTAGCTTGGGAGTTTGGGTGTTAATCAAATTGGGCTGCTGCTAGGTTAAAGATATATACAAAAAGGCGCAGAAATTAAGGAGGGCAGTCTGTCGAAGATCAATTATAAATACACTCAAGAAATCGACAGCTTTGGGGAGCCAACATTGTATATTTATTCTAACAGAAAAACAAACCAGGAGGGAAGAAAAAGAAATTGACAGCTGCTGAATTTATATATTTATACTTAGAAAACGCTGCCTTAGAGAGGAGAGAATTGAGCTGAAATATATATATATATATATATATATATATGTCACGCAAATTGGCGGTTGTTGGAAGAGACAGAAAGCCGAAGATACACGGCCTATCTACTGCTGGAATTAATATAAATGCAAAGGAATGAAGGTAGATATACGCAAACAGAGACAAGTAATTACTGGAAGGAGACGACACACACAGAAAACATCGGAGGAGAAAAAGATGGCAGAATCATTGTGATAAAAATTAATTATGTTCTGTCAAAAATTTTGGTGATGCCCTTCCACATTTATTTGTTCATTAATTTCAATATCATGTTAGGCTAATTCCTTTTTTGTGTTGGATGAGATGAACCCTATTTGTTATTTATTTTAAATTCAAGACAACTAATTTAGTTTAATTATTGTGTTTTTTGATTAATTATGCATTCTCATTGCATTATTGAATTGTTTAACCATCAATTGAATAGTTAGTTGCTTGTTGTAGTATAGGAATACTCACAACGAGTTTAGAACGCGGCAAAATTAACATGTATAGTTAGGATTATGAATAATATCTATCATACATGCAATCCTATTGATAACTTGAACTAATGCGTGATTTTCATATGAATTTGGACTAGGAAGAGGATCGGGTCATGTTAATCAAAGGTTCGTGTGTCATGAAAAAGAGCATTGAATAATTTAGCGTTATCGATTGTCAAGTACACGGAATGGAATTAGATTACGAATCAAGAATTGAAATAAATAGCAATAGACAGAGTCGAAATTCAATACAATCCTCCATAATTTGACAAAAACCCCAAATTTTTATTGCTTTCTTATATTAGTTTAGTTTAAATCAAATCAAAATATTTACTTTGTTTTCATAATTCGAATTTCATACGATACTAGTAAACTTAAGTTCAATTTATTCCCCGTGAGATGATAACTCTTAACTTACTTATTATTACTTGTCAATGATCTTGTACGCTTGCGATTTTCGAATGGACAAGTTTTTAACGTTGTTTGTCGAGAAATAAAGTATTTAATTTGGATTTATTAGTTTATACAAAATTTGAATGTTCTTTTACATTGTTTTAGGATATTAATTACACACCTAATTTCTCTTTTCTTGTTTTATGGCAGTTAATACAAGATTTTAGAGAAATCGAGCTCCTATAATTGGATCCCAAAATCGAAAGAACTTTCAAACAATGAAGAATAGAATAGAGAGAAACTAGAAAAATGGTAATAAATCAAAATCAAAATCAAAATCAAATTCAGTTACCATCAGATTTGCCAAAACAACAAGATTTGTTAGAAACACCTGGCAATCGTGGAGAAGCTCTTAGGAATTAACAACCAACACTAGTTTCAAAGATATAATTTCAATATATCTAATAGTGTTGAAATCCATCCACTTATCGAATAACTTGTTATTACCCTTTGAACCTATATATATACTGGTTTAGTATATTTTCGTAGGGTTGCCGTTATTGGTGAATCTTTTTAAGAAGTTTTATACCCATTTTACTTGATGTTGATTTCACTAACTCTCTTGTGAGAGGTTTGGTAAATGGATCAACTAAGTTTTCACTTGACTTAACAAATATAAGAGAAATTACTCCATGCTTGATTAATTTCCTTACATATTCGTGTCTTAGA